TGCTGTGTCGTACATTATGAGGAAAAACAAACATACATACACAATCGTACATGTTTGCAAACAGAATTTGAATCTCAAAACATGTCGACTGTTTGTTGCTTTCCCGCTCTTTTCGATATTTTAAAAAAACCATCACGTGATGTTTGCTACCTTGCTTGTCGAGTAATGACGGGATGTATCAGGGGAGGTTGTGATATAAGTACTACATGGGAGGGGAGAGATTGCAGTGTAGACTGCTGTGTGTAGATGCCAGTTATCCCGGACCGTCGAACCGACACAATCTTACAGCCAGGAGGTCTGGCCTAAGGTTGTGGCTGCCCCCCAACCTGTATCATCGGTGCTTGCACAACTAAGAGGTGTGGCCTGACGATGTGGCTGCCTCCCAACTTTAACTTTCCGTATCCGTCCTTGTACAACCAAAGCCGTTTGGCCAAGGTTGGGGCCTCCTACCAACCCCCCTCAACAACCTGCCCCTACCATGTGGATGCCCACAACCCACCCACAACCTGCCCTCTGGCCACCCGTGCGAGGAAGGTTGTGGCTGAAGCCTGCTACCCCTGTAGTAGAGGACTACAGCAGCAGCAGCACTTGTTGCGTTGCAGCAGAGATGATCAGGAGGCCGGCATGTTCGTCACAGGGGCCCTGCTGCAAATAAAGGGGCCGGCCATGTGGTAGGTGGACCAGACAGAAGATAGATGACGCCAGCAACTAAGTACATCATCACGTGAGCACTAACCCGAGCAATAGTAGGTTACAGCCATCATCATGGTCGCCAAACAGTTCCGTTCACTGGCTGTCTTGGTTTTGATCGTCTCCTCTCTTCGTGCTGCAAAAAAAAAAAAAAGCCGCGCACAAGCACACCCACACCATATGCTCACCATATTGTGCGCATGCGATGTGTGTGTGCAAAACCCTCTCATCCACGAAACGTTCCTCGAACCCCCGCGCCTGTGCGCGCATAAACACCCCGTAGATGACATCTCATCTGCTGGACTCCCGCCAACTCGTAACAGAACAACTGCCACCAACAATACACACGCCTTGCTTAACTTCGTTGCCAGGGAGAGGGCGAAACACTTCCGTTAAAAAATTGAAGGCAAGCACTCACTGCAGGAAGAGAGGTGGAGGAACTCCTCCCGTCCGTGTGACCCCCGCTCGTGCATCAAACATGAATATAGCGTGGATCAGCGTCCACGAAAAGATGGGACGAAAAAAATCAAAAACTAAACAACAA